TGAGCTTGAAATGGTTGAAGAAGCCATGAAAGCGGGTTGTGGATGTGGTTATCTTGAGCCCCGATAAGGACTTGACAGACATGAGAGAGAGAGATTTTTCTCTGTTATTTTGTTGGTCTTCAGCACTGAACACATTTGGGTAGGAGAGAGAAATTGTGTTCACATGGGAGAGAGTGATTGTTAATAGATGTCTGATTTGGCAAAGTTGACATGGGTGCTTTTTATGCTTCTAAAGCTCCACTTTAGCTTTCCGTCCGTCTAACGTCAAATGGTTAAATTGGGAATGTATTTTACTGTAACATAAATTATAGTTTTGATATTTTTATATAACAAATTGAAATTTTGATACACCAATATAATAAGTGTATAATTGAGAGACCACGAATGAAATTAAGCCCAATATCCTATGGCTCAGCCACTGTCAATACTAGGTACTTGTTATGATTTTAGTAACTTTGAAACTGTTAATGTGCCTAAGATTGTATAGTCATTTAATGGGGCAACTGACGTGAAAGTTAACTAATCTGGAATTTTCTTGAGCAATGGGGCGGAGCAAGCGTTCTTGGCTTTTTGCTCCAAATAGTGATCCGACAGACAAGGCTATTTTCAGGAATACACGGCAACTAACTTGCGAGGTGATTTACGATGAAGGACAACTCGGGTTTGCTGCTGGTAGTTGTAGTTGATTAATTAATCTAATTAAGGTTTTGTGTTCTAAATGCTAGTTAAGTAAGCAGTAACATGCGTTTGCTTGTATTGATTTGAGGATTAATAATAAAGCTCATAAGTAACGTAAGAACTAATGTGTTCATAGATCCCACATTGGTTTAATACTAATTCGATTTTGCACATTTTAATCCTCTAAAGGCCAAAGCTAGCCAGCTGAGCTCAGTAACGCGAGCTTGCAACTCTTGTGAGAGCTTTAAAGTGTGGAACGTTGCTTCAAACTATTAGGCCGGGCCTACGTTGGCTATTTACTGGGCTGCCCATGCCAAGCCAAGAGTTGAGCCTTGTGATCCTAGCGAAGGCTTGGGTCACTCTACTCCTGCAGAGGAGGGCACTGCGTGAGACTGGTATAACAGAGCAGCGACTACCTCCCGCTCTTGACAGTGGATGGATAACGGGCTGGTGCCAATTGGGCCCATCGTGGCTCCATGGGTTGATCTCAATTGAACCATCACTTTTTATTTTTTTAAGAAAATTAATAAATAATACGAAATTAGTTCGTGATTCACATTTCCAAAGCTGAAAGACTAGCTGGGTTTGAAAATTTGATAACAAATATTATTTTCATAATACTTATCACGTTTTAAAAAATAATTTATTTCAAAATACTTATCACATTTGTAGTTTCAAGAAATAATAAAATCATTGTTTTCATGTTTATCCTTTTTATATGACCAATAATTATTATTTCAATTTAATAATTTTCTTAAATAATTAGTATTAAATTAAGAGCAATATAGTCAATTTACTTAATAATTTACTATAATTTAGATAAATTTAATGGTTTTTTTAACGAACGTGAAATTGTCAAATCTAACAAGTATTATGAAACAGATGTAGTATATATAGAGGTGGCCAAAATCCGGTTTTCGAAACTAGAACTATCAGTTTCGAATCGATTCAAACCAAAATAAAACCGATGGGAACCGAAACTGGCCCGAATCGAAATCGAAACCTGTGGGAACCAGTTCGATTTCTGTTCCACCTGTTTTGGAACTGTGAACCGACGGTTCCCAAAACCAGTCGGAACCGACGGTTCCAATTCCGATTGGAACCGTCCACAACCGTTTCAAACCGGTCGGAACCGTTTCGAATCGGTCAGAACCGTTTCGAACCGATCGAAATCGTTCTGAATCGATCAGAACCGGTCGGAAAACCTGCCGAGAACCGATCGTAACTGTCGATTTTGGAACCCTTAAGAAACCGGAACCGAAATTGAAACCGTTCGATTCTAAACCGTAATCGGAACTGGTAATTTTTGGTTCGATTCTAGTTCTAAAAAATTTGGAACGAGCTCCGGAACCATGGCCACGTCTAAGTAAACATATGTTACTTTTTTGCATGAATTAGAATTTACTTACAAAAATCTTTGAATTGACTTGTTAGATTTAGAATTTACTTACAAAAATTTTTTTACACCATTTAAATATTTTTAGCCGTAATTAGATTTTGTAATATATTTATTTAAATAAAAATATTATTTAATTATTATGGTTCTATTAATAATAGAATTTGAAATTCTAATTAATTTCAAAATTTTAATTTGAATCTTAATACAAGATTTTTTATTACAGAATTTCCTCATGTATTTTAGTTAAAAATAAATAAAGTTAGAGCTCTGAAATGAAATTTTTTTAAACAAGATTTTATAGCAACAAAAAAAAAAAATCATAAGTTTCTTTAGAAGGATTTATGATCTGAAATTATATGGATTACACTTAATATATGATAATTAGAATTTGTAAATTCTAATTAATTTCAATTTTAATTTGCAAATCTTAATACAAAGATTTTTATACAGAATTTCCCTTCATGTATTTTAAGTCTAAAATAAATAAAGTTAGTAGCTCTGATAATGAAATTTTTTAAACAAGATTTTTATAACCAGCAACAAGAAAAAAAATGCATAACGTTTCTTTTTAGAAGGATTGATGGATCTGAAATGTAATGGGATTACAACTATATTATATATTATAATATAATATATATATATTATATGCACATATAACGTGTGATATATATGCACATATAACGTGTGAGTATGAACTCCAATTTATATGCTAATACATAAATAATTTTGCACTCCTTTGTTAAAAATACTTGCCTTTATTTTTCCTTGTATAATTTTCACATCATTGGAATTTCCTATTCACTTAGGCCATATTGTTTATAGATTATTAATGAAATTTTTATTATGCTATTAAAAATATAAATAAAAAAGATCTATGGTAAAAAAAAATATACCGTGATTTTTTAATTATGAGAGTAAAAATTATTAGATAGGCATGTTTTCAGAATTATAGATTGAAAATGTTGAAATTTATAGAGAAATAGAAAAAAAAAACGAAGTAAAATGAAAGGTACTAAAATTCATTAATTTGATTTATTTTAAAATTAATGTAACAAATAACACCTTATCTTAGAATTAATTTGATTTATTTTAAAATTAATAAATAATTTATTTTAAATAAATAAAAGCTGTATAAATTGTCATCTTACCATGTTATTAATTCTCTAATACCATAATTAATCAATTATATTTAACATAATTCAATTTAATAAATAAATAATTACTCAATATATTCTCAAATAATTTATTTTAAAATTAATATAAAAGAATAATTATCCATATCATTAAATCCATAAATTAAGTAATTTATTCATTTCATTAAGATTTAATTTATTCAATAAATTATTTTATTAAAAAGTCATATTCTTTATATTTTATTCCTAATAAATTATCAACAAATGTAATTTTAAATAAAACACTTTTTTTGATAAAATTAGTAAAATTTTTAGTGTTTAATAAATAAAACAAGTGATAATATATACATTAAACATTAATTGTTAACTTTTGTATGCTCTCGTTAGCATGTCTCTTTTCCATCTCTGAATTTCTCCGGTGATTATTCCGGCTTTGTCACGATGGCTATTACTAATCTACAGACATCCCTTGCAGAAGAGGAGGACGAGATTTTAGCATTCAATATCAACCTTGATGCACCACAACAGACTTATGAGTGGTGTTTGGTGGGAATGTTTTTAACCTATAACTCCATAAACTTCAATGCTATGAAAATGGTTCTTGCAGATACCTGGCATCCGTTAGGAGGGGTCTCTATATCTGAGTTGGGTGCCAAGAGATTTTTATTTCGTTTCTACAACAGTGTTGATTTCAATAGAGTTGTGGAAGGGGCACCGTGGTCGTTTAACAAACATATGCTAGTTTGGCATAAAATTGAGGAACAACAGGATCCTTTACACGTTCCACTGCTCCATATCAATGTCTGGGTGCATGTTAGGGGACTAAAGCCAGGTTTTTACAGAGAGGAGGTAGCTAGATCTCTCGGAAATTTCATTGGTGAGTTTATTTCTTATGATTTGAAGTTCAGTACACAGAGCACTGAATCAGTTATGCAGATTAGAACCAGATTTGATATTCGCACTCCATTAAAAAGGAAGAAGAAGCTCGTGGATGCCAAAGGGGAAGCCTTCTATGTCTATTTTAGTTACTTTTGTGTCCACATATACTGTTACCTTTGTGGAATCATTGGCCACATCGATGCTTTTTGTGAGAAACGTTTGTTTACTAAACCAGAAGATATTCGGTTTGATTGGGATGATAGTCTTCGCGTCTCCGACCGGCGTGTGTTGGTTTCCGGCAGTCCATGGTTGCGTGAAGAAAGAGTGTTGAGATTTGAGGCGGGATCTTCGGGAAGCAATAAATGCATGGGCATTGATAAGGAAGATATTCTGAAATCACGTCAATTTCGTCAATCTTTATTTGGTGTTGACTTGAGATTTGAGGCGGGATCTTCGGGAAGCAATAAATGCATGGGCATTGATAAGGAAGATATTCTGAAATCACGTCAATTTCGTCAATCTTTATTTGGTGTTGACTTGGGAACAGCTAGGGAGGCTACTGGTGTGGGCATGATGGAGACTGATTTCGGTGAAGATGTGGTTGTGGGCCTGGCTGAAGAATTAAAGAAGAGGCCCAGGAGTGGTATATTGACCACAAATGATTTTTTCTCTAATACGACTACCTCTGCTGCCGTTTCTCACCTTAAGGATTCTGCAGGAGGTTCTAACGCTGGAGTTTATTCTTCAACGTCAAAACCAACAGCTGATCTCGCAAAACAGCGGGATAGCCAACAACAATGATTCTCATCAGCTGGAACTGCCGAGGAATTGGTAACCCTCGGACATTTAATGCTCTTAAAGATTTATCTTTTAGTTACCGACCACATGTTTTATTTTTAATTGAAACAAGGATGGATGCACAGAGAATGGAGGAGGTGAAGCTTTTAATTGGTTTTGATAATTGTTTTTGTGTTGACCGGATTGGTATGGGGGGTGGTTTATGTGTTCTTTGGAAATCTTCTGTTGCTCTTACGATAACTTCATATTCCACTAATTTTATTGACTGCTTTCATATTCCACTAATTTTATTGACTGCTACATTAAGGAAGACAATTTATGTTGGCGTTTTACTGGCTTTTATGGGTATCCAGAAGCGCATCGTTGTCGTTCATCCTGGAATCTTATTCGAACGCTGGCAAACAATAGTTCCTTACCTTGGCTTTGTGTAGGGGATTTTAACGACATTGCTGCTGACTTGGAAAAACAGGGAGGTCCACCTAAACCAAATTTTCTCTTGAATGGTTTTGCTGACTTGGAAAAACAGGGAGGTCCACCTAAACCAAATTTTCTCTTGAATGGTTTTAAATCGGCTCTTGATGATGCTGGTTTAATTGATTTGGAATCAGCTGGTTATTTTTACACTTTTGAAGGTACTAATCCTAATGGTGATCGTATAAAAGAAAAATTGGATAGGGCTATGTCTAATGACCGCTGGGCAACTTTGTTTCCGAATGCTATTGCGACTACACAAATTACTCCAGTATCTGATCATATGCAGTGGTGATTGATTTGTAGCCGAATGAGTATCATAATTATGTTCGGCCTTTCAGGGTGGATAACTCATGGTTAGTAGAAGATGAGTTGGAGTTAGTTGTACGGAGGGGTTGGGAGGAGTCAGTTAATTTGAACTTCATAAGCAGACGTGATGCTCTTATTTTTTACGTTAATCGGTGGGGTCGAGCTAGAAATCGGGAATTCTGGAAACGCCGGAATCTGATTGTGCGACAAATTGAACTTGATAGAGATTTGTATGGTGGGTCCTGGTCGGCACGACTTAAAGAGGAATGGAATAAAATACTGCTTACGGAAGAAATTCGAAAGAAGCAACAGGCTAAACTCTTCTGGTTTAAATATGGCGACAAAAATTCCAAATATTTTCATAAGCAGATTAAAGGTAGGAGGAATATTAATAGAATTAAAAAGCTTAAAAAAAGTGATGGTTTTGTTACGTCTAATCATGGAGAGATGGAGGTGTTGGTGAAAGATTATTTTTCTGAGCTTTTTCGGGCTGAGAGACAACCGGATAGAAGCAGTTTATTGAGGTTGTTTCAGAAAAGGGTGACTGATAGTGATGCAGCGAGTTTGTTAGCTCCATTCCGGAAAGATGAATTTCGAGAGGATTTATTCAGTATGCATCCTGACAAGGCTCCTGGACCTGACGGTTTAAACCCGGCCTTCCTTCAGAAGTACTGGCATATTATGGGGAATGCTATTGTTTTGAATGCTGTGGATTGGTTGCAGAGAGGTATTTTTCCTTCTGACCTCTCTTTAACAAATATTGTGCTTATTCTGAAAATTCATGTTCCTGACAATAGTTACACCTAATCAATCACGCTTAGGATAAGCGAAATCGAAGAGGTTAGTTGAAACTGTGAAAGACTTTCGACCTATAGCCTTATGTAATGTTATATATAAAATTGTCTCTAAAGTCTTAGCGAATAGGCTTAAGAAGGTGTTGCCTCATATTATTTCTATGAACCAGTCTGCTTTTGTGCCTAACCAATCACTGATAATGTTTGTGTGGCGTTTGAGACTATACATAATTTGAAGAATAGGAGATGTGGGGATCTGGGTTATTGTGCTTTGAAAATTGACATCAGTAAAGCTTATGACAGAGTTAGTTGGGATTATTTGTCTGATGTGATGCATTGTTTGGGATTCCCTGCGGCCTGGATTCAGTGGATGAGTATGTGTTACTCAAGTGTCAGCTATTCTGTGTGTTTGAATGGGATTCCTGTTGGTCCTATCAGTCCTGCTAGAGGTCTCCGTCAAGGGGACCCTATTTCTCCATACCTGTGTTCCTGGCTAGAAGGTCTTTCCGTTCAAGGGGACCCTATTTCTCCATTACCTGCCATACCTGTTCTTACTTTGTGCTGAAGGTTTATCTGCTTTATTTCGAGATGCGGAGGAGCGGCGGTTGATTCATGGATGTAGGGTTGGTAGAGGTTGTCCTCGAGTTTCGCATTTGTTGTTTGCGAACGACTCTATATTTTTCTTTAAAGCTAATGCTCATGAAGCTACAATGGTGAAATCAATTCTCTTGGACTATGAGGCGAGATCGGGACAGGCGGTAAATTTTCAAAAATCTGGTACTTTATTTAGTCCCTGTGTTTCGCAACATATTGTAGATGACATTTGTAGATGACATTTCTAATATCTTGGGTGTGAGGGGTTCTATTGGGGATAGCTTTTATCTTGGTCTTCCTTCTCTTATAGGACGAGACAAAAAGCAAATATTCTCTTTTATTAAAGACAGGTTGTGGAAGAAATTGAATAGCTGGAATAATAGATTCTTGTCTAGAGTCGGTAGAGAGGTTCTTATTAAATCTGTTGCTCAGGCTATACCAGCTTATTGTATGTTGGTTTTCTTGTTGCCCTCTACTTTGTGTCATGAGCTACAAGTTATTATGAATTGCTACTGGTGGAACGGGAAGAAAGAACAAGGCAGAGGTATTAACTGGCTTTCGTGGGAAAGGATGTCTTTTTCTAAGCAACAAGGTGGTATGGGTTTTCGTGATCTTCGGCATTTTAATCTGGCTATGCTTGCTAAGCAGGGGTGGCGGTTATTACAGGCGAAGGATACTCTTTTTTACAGAATCTTCAAAGCTAAATATTTCCCGAGAGGGGATTTTTTCAAAGCTCAAAAGGGTAATAATTCGAGCTTTGTGTGGTCAAGTATCTTTGCTTCTATTAATTTGCTTCAGCAAGG